TAGTATGTGTATGTATGAATGCGATTTTAGATTGTACTCCCCTTGAGGGTTAGGGACTGATGTGAATGTACAATATATATGTATAAGTACCTGAAATAAATCAATATAAATTTTGTTTGGTTACAGTGTTGCATGACAGCACAATTACCAGTTAAAAGAGCTGAAGTGGTTAATTTTAATTTTATTCTACTAGTTAACCAGGTTAACAAAAATTGTAAGGGAAGCTTGAAGTGCTGATAATATGTCATGATGGACATTGTTATTTTAAGATTTACCATGGAGATGAGTCATGGAGAGATAAGTTATTTTCAACAAGCATGAGTCACCAGCCATACAATAACAGGAGATATCATCTCATTCCGCTCCGTCATGGCTGCTCCTACAGCGCCCAGCACTAGAAAAACATGGACTCCGAATACAGAACAATTCCCCACTGATACAATTATAACCAACAGTGCCAGGTAGTTGTCACAAAACAGAACTAAATGTCCACTTTTCTACGTATATTCCACAAGGCCTCACATCTTTTCTTTGTTGATCCTGGTCATCGGTATCATTTATCATGTGGTGAACGTCAGGCTTCGCCTATGTTAAGAGACTGTATTACAATTTACAAACAAGAATATTCGGGTATTTTATTCACTGAACATTTTGTTTTAAAGCAGAACTCCAGCCAAAAATAAGAAGATAAAGACGATGAGCCCTTTACCACTTCAAGTCTGGACTCTCCCCCCCCCCCCCCCCTTCCCTTCCCTGTCCAGGCCAATGTTCAGCTTTCAGCGCTATCACTCTTTAAATGACAATTGCGCGGTCATGCAACATTGTACCCATATGAATTTTTTAGCTTTTGTTTTTTAGAAAGATAAAGCTTTATTTTGGTGGTATTTATTCACCACTGGGATTTTTTATTTTTTTGCTATAACATTTTGAAAAAAATGTGTTTTTTCTTATAAAATTTTGCAAATAAATAATCTTTCTTCATAAATCTTGGCCAAAATGTATTCAGCTATCTTTTTAGTAAAAAAAAAAAAAATAACCCAAATTAGTTTAGAACCAAAAATTATAATTTTTCAAAATTTATTTTTACATTTTTATTTTTTTTTTATTATTATTTATCTTTTTTTTTTTTTTTTTTTTAACATACCGTCACCCTAGCAGTACAGTGTTATCATGGTGACACTGTACTACTTGTGGGGGGTGAAGAAGATTTTTTTTTTTCTTTACATTGATTGCTTTTACACCCATAAAGTCTGTAAAAGCAAACATTTCTCCTTCTCTCTGGCTGCATTCTTGCAACCATTGAGAAATACTGTGTGAGCTGTGATTAATCACAGCTTGTCACATGGTACAAGGCTGTTGTGAATAGCCTTGTACCATGTGACTTCTGTGATCATTCACAGATTTCACACGTAGTAAGCAATGATGTCAGCAAGTGACATCTTGTTTACTACTATGCATGTGATCACTGATTGGCCAATCAGTGATCACATGATTGGGACCTCACACAGCGATCAGTGTTCCACTGTGTCCGGTCGCTTCGGCACTGCTTCCATCCGGCCGTTTATGTTCTTGGGCCGGATGGGAAATGGTTAAAGATAAAATAACATAACCAGTTTTTGCTATAAAATTCACCTTCAGTTCAGGGGCTGTCCTGGACCCACTCCGGTCTGTGACTGGACAGTGAAAGGAGAAGCAGCATAGTGATGAGCTCATCTCCCTGTCACACTGCTTTCTCCACCTGCCAGCATACCTCTTGTTAGCATATGAACTGATAGGCTCCTTGTGCTGCTTCTTCCTTTTACACTCCAGCCCTGCTGTTCAGAGACTGCAAGCGAAATTCAAGTACATACACATCTTGCCTTTACAAATGCATATAATGGTGTATTAAAGCTGAACTCCAGGAATTATTTGTACTGCATACTTACATTGGTCCAGCTTGGTCCAATGTAAGTATGCATTACCCTAGATTCACACCTAAGCGTTTTTTTTTGCAGTGTTTTGCAGAAACGCAATACAGTGCATTTGACATGATTTCTTATGGGACACGTTCACATCTCTGCGTTTTCACCCGGTGCATTTTTTGGAAAGGGTCAGGAACTTTTTTTAAACGTGAAAAGTTGCGGTTTTGGGTCTATAGACTTCAATGGAAACACTGCAGAAAAGCATGTAGTGCATTTTTTCTGTGTTTTTGTTGCTTTTCTGATGCGTTTTGTGTTTTAAATCTGCCTAGCAACAAGAAAAGAAAGAAGAAAAAAAAGCAAAATGCATTAAAAACGCATCAAAGGTGCAAAAAACTCAAAACGCAATGCAGAAACGGCTCAAATGCAAACTGCATAGGTGTGAAGCTAGCCTTACTCATACTTGCTGGACTACAGGGTAAGCAGGAAATCACTGTAATAGTCGGCACTACTACAGTGATAGCCGTGATCTTCCAGGTCCTGACCAGAGTACTGTGCAAGTGGCCTCACCTCTGCACACTGACCGCAGTGGATTGTTTGCTGGGCACCACCTCTATTCATAGAACGTATTTTTTTTTTCAATGAATAAAAGCTTTTTCTGATTGAAAAGGGTAGAGAAGATGGGTGGTGACTTCACGGAACACTTTTTTCTCAATGAATACAAGATGTTCTTTGATTGGATGAGGTGGGGAGGAGGGGCAGTAATGTCATGGTTTCCACCTTGTCCAATCAAAGAACACCTTTTTCACTGAAAAAAATATAAGGTGTTTTTATGAATAGTGGATGGTGAATGTTTACAAGAAAATGATGGTTTGTGCGCAATCACTGATGATGTAAAGGTGTGAGAGCTCATCTATATGTGCATGTGACGTTTAGGAACGAATCAAACTGTTTAAAAGGAATCTGAAAAGAGAAAAATATGGAAGCTACCAATGCTAATTGGGTTCTTAAAGGTATAGGTCCTGGGGCTGGTATTCTCATCTCGGCTTCAATGACCTGGAACAACAATGATGTTAAAGTGTATCAAACACTAATCATTACAATCTCATATAGGCTTTAACAGGTTAAAGTGGTTGCAAACCTCAGACATGAAATAGGAACAAAGCATAGCCCTCTATAGTGTGTACTTGTCTCAATCCAGGGCACTAAGTGCCATTTCTGTCTACTGCCTCATTCCTCTGCTATCAGCATGAGTCATTTCTGACAAGTTTTCCTGACACCAAGAGAAAAATGGTGACGGGGAGGGAGGTTCAGCAGATTGACAGCCTCAGCTCTTTTCCCCTGTGCAGGGGATGTGTCCCTTACCTCCAATCAACTGTCAGAGCTCTCCTCCCGGATGTAAATCCAGCTCCCCCTCCCCCTGCTTTTCAGAGATGAGAGAATCTGTGTAAATTCTTCACTTTTAATGCACTTTGAATGGATATAGGGTAAAGATGACTGTAGATAAACAGATTCAACTTGTCTAGGAGGATTTGTTCCTTCTCTGTGTATCACCAGTCACTTCACTCGGTATATATAAGGGTTTACAACCACTTTAATGAAATAGTTGTTTTCACTTTCTTTTAAATTTGCAGCTTTCCCTAAAATAATACCTGGTGATCCTGACATGAAGATGCTTAATATGTAGAGAGGTTCAGTCGTTGTCACCATCGAGAGCCCACCTTAAGTTTTAACATGGGGCTGCGGCTGGAGTCGGCGCATGTAGAAAGAAACTAACTGCTGAGTTGCTTTAATTCCAGATAATAAAATAGAAACAACCTATCGAGACTATTTATACTTCGCTGTTCCTCTGTCCATGTCTCAGAAGAACTATGCTGACACAGCATGCTTCAGGGCAGTCCCAGGACAAGATCGTTCAGCACCTGAGGTGAAAAGACCAGTGTCCCCCCCCATGAGCTATGAACTACTTCAATGCCATAGGTTGCAGGTCCTGCCCTTTTTGCGCCCAGCCTTGCTGAAGCGCCCAAGGTCACCATCTCTTCTGTCCACCCTCTCGAACTGGCCCTGCTTCATCTGGGTTTGTTGAATACCTGATCCTCCCCATTGCACACTGTGATTCCATCTATCAGTCCCTACCAGGGGCGGACTGAAAACTCATGGGGCCCCCGGGCAATAGGGGATCATGGGGCCCCTGTGTCCTTGCCCAAACTCAAAAAAAAGCCTATGAAAAAGGTACCAGGGGCATCTCATGGGGCCCTCTACTGATCTTGGGCCCTCGGGCAGTGCTTGAGTTTCCAAATGGTCAGTCCGCCCCTGGTCCCTACATCAATACAGCACACAGAAGGGATGTAGTGGCTGGCAGGTGAAACCACACTACATGGCAGGAGGGTCATCCAGCAAAACTGGAAGTTTCCAGATGCTGAAGATTCTGCTGGAAGCTGTAATTCTTTAATAGAGTGAATATACAAAGAATAGGCTTCTGGGCAGCTGCGTATTAATACTCTTCATCAGGGGCAGACTGACAACTCATGGGGCCCCCAGGCAATAGGGGATCATGGAGCCCCTATGTCCTTGCCCAAACTCAAAAAAGCCTATGAAAAAGGTACCAGAGGCATCTCATGGGGCCCCCTACTGACCCCGGGCCCTTGGGCAGTGCCCGAGTTTCCAATTTGTCAATCTGCCCCTGCTTTTCATGTGCATGTTTGGTTTCATGTGCATGTTTGGTTTGGGCAACCACGATGTAGCCATCAATTGGCTATAGCGCGGTTGCCAAGTGGTTAAAAATGGAGACATAGTCACTTTCACTATCTAATGAGTCAAGCATGCTTGTTTCAGGTCAGAGATCCATGATGCCACAGAGACTGTACATTTTATTATGACTGCTTACATTCATTTGTCCTCAAAAAGTTTTGATAAGCCCAAGCATGTTAATACAGTATTGGTCATGTATAGGTGTTTTGAGTCAACATATTTTAGCTGATCCTTTAAATACCATTGGGATGACACATTCAGGCCCGCCATGTAGAAATTTGTGCTTCTTTTATTTACACTTGCATTTATCCTTATTTGTTAATATAACACTCCATTTTGTTCATTTTGCAGGTAAAGCTGTGTTTCTTGCTCGGGATAAACATCATCTTCTAGACATATCTCATCTGGTACGCCACGATGCTCCATATCTGTTTCAGAAGTATGTGAAGGAATCACATGGGAAAGATGTACGTGTGGTCATTATTGGTGGGCAGGTGATCGGGTCCATGCTTCGATGTTCTACAGATGGCAGAATGCAGAGCAACTGCTGCTTAGGTAAGTGCACCTATAGAGTCCATTACAACTGCTATTCTTAACTGGTGGGATCTTTTACCGCCACTAGACCCTCATCTCTAGAACCATCCTTGGGGGAGAAGTTGGGTGTTTTTACTTGAAGTAGATGTAAACCCAAACAATAAAGCCTGGTTTACATTTGTGCTGTAACATATGCAAATTATGTAGAGCATTAGTACACATTGTGTTACGGCAACTTATTTATTTTGAATGGACTGCCAACGCACCTAACTGTGGCAAAAAACGCATCTGACCATTTTTTTGGGAATGCAGCAAAGATGTGTTGCAGTTACAAAAGAAAGGCATCTCAGCACACCTAATTATGACAAAATCCACCTGACCATTTTTTGGGGACACGATGCAGTACAGGTGTGTTACTTTAGTATAAGGGAGTGCTTGCTTCCCAACACACCATTAAGAAAAAACCTACCTGACCCTTTACCTGGGCATTACCCCAGCACCATATTTGAAAGGGCCCGGAAATCTAATACAAGATTTAAAGTGTTAATGGAATTTCAAAATTAATTGTCGATATGTTAAAAGTAATACCTGCCATGAAGGGCCTTGCTCAGTAACTTCCTGTTAGTGGTGACAACGCTATGTCCTTGTTGCTTAATTGTGCTCCTGCATTGTCACCCTGCCACACAGGTTTCTGATGGAGACTGCTAGTGGCCGTTTCAACACACTTTACGCAGGTATGGTACACTGTTGTCACCATCATGAAACCTGCCCTGAGAAGTGCCATTCAGCTGTCACTGGAAAGCATGTAAGAAGTGGCTGCATGAGATCAGCAGCACTGAGAAGAAACAATGGATTAGAAAAGGTATTTTGTTTGAAAAAGGCAAATGTTTATGATATGCTTTAGCAAACTAAATGTCATTCAGTTAAGGTTTACTGCACATCCACTTTAAAATAGACCAATATATAGACATATCTGCAAATCTTGACTTTTTCCTTGAATAGATCAAGCTGAGCACCACCTTCTTCTTCCCAAAAAGCCCCCTGTTGACCAGCGGTACAGACCATCGCATTAATGGTGGCCATATACGTTTCCGTTTTATCCTCCGATTGATGTGCAATTCAATCAAAAGAAATGAATTGGCAAACAATTGGATAGTCTTAACTTGCCTTCTGTTCAGTTTAAGTTAGTTTTGGATTGGGGTTGATCGGCCAGAACATTTGCTGATTTATAGGCATCGATTGGCAGCACTGAGATGCTTTGGTCATGAATTTGAACGTGTTTTGATCATACTATAATTGTATCTTCCAACTATTGATCAAAATCCATTTTCCAGTATGTGGTAAAATGATCAAATGGGTTTCCAACCATAGATCGATTATGCCAATCAAAAAAGAAATCAATCATTATCAAAGTGTGTATGGCTACCAAAAAGAACCAGTTAGATAGGCTTTTATCAGGGAAGGGGTATGCCGGGCTTGACTTGTCAGAAACAGTCAATATGATTTCAGCTACCTATATCTCTGTATCTTATGATTGTTTTAATGTAGGACATTCACTGAAGGTGGCCTTGTTTATGTATTTCTTAAATATATGCTCACTTTGAAGTGTCCAGGTATGCGATAGGTTTACTTTTAATAAAAATACCCAGTATTCACTAGTAATATAATTAAAGTATGTGGCTTTCACAGTTGGATTTGAAGTTGTGTGGAAGGCACTCCAAGATTGTGCTTAATGGGATGGCCTCGCTAGTGGCAACCTGTTACTAGATAGGCCAAGGTAGATTTCCAATCGTTAAGCAAGGGGTCAGATGAAACCAGGTGTACATGGTGCCAAAGAGACAGAAAAGTAGTTCAGAGTATATCCAAAGCTTAATCAGGGGTTAAGCAGAGCTGAATGTTAAAGCCATATTTGAGAGAAACCATGTAGTTAGGAAACACAGCAAGGTCATGTAGCACTACCCCCAAAGGAGTCACTGGATTTCAGGTCTGTTCCCCTGACACACAACCCACAGGGAGGCAAACGGAATTTTCCACACTCTCTCTGATGGCTCAATAAACAGTCTAGGGGTTTGGTTCCTGAAGTTTATTTTGCTAACATAGACTTGGACAGGAATTTGGGGTGCATGGGATGCCCAGAACTGTAGAAAATGGCAAACTCCAAACAAACGGTTGAGGACCTGCTAAAGTCTCTGTCTGCTATAATCCAAACTGAACTGTGCAGCACAACCGTGGGAGTAACAGTGCAGTTAAAACAGGTTGTAAAAGTCCCAAAAAGTAGTGTTGAAGACACAGCTCCTGGCTGTATTGTATTGCACTTAAGCTACCCCTGGTCCCAGGCACGTGAGGTATTCCACTTCTCTGTCCTCTCCTTCCTTTGGGTCTATGGCTGGCCTGCACTCACTCAGTCACTGTAAGTAGGTCCCGGAATGCGGAAGGCGGCTGAACTGGCCTTTTGCTGAACAGGCTGCCTCTGGCTTGACTTGATGTCTGCAGCTAGGCTTAGCTGAGACTGTAGCTGAATGATGTTCTGGAGCTTCCTTCCTCTCTCTCTATTGTGCTTTTTTTCTTTCTTGTCTGCCCTAGGGGCAGAGCCCCCAGCACAGGGCCCCCTCCAAGTGGCTGAACCCCAGACTCCACTCCCAGACTGCCAGGCTTCAGAATAATTATGGGCAGCTTCCCTACCTTCTAGGCCCATCTACCCAGGGATTGATGGAAGATCCATGAATATTCAGGATGCAGCATCTGTCCCTACTATGTTCTGGAAAGATCCAGTGAATTCCAGAAGACAGAGGGAGGCAACACAGCCACAGCCTTTGAAACACTGCCCAGTCTCCTAAACACAATTAACACATGCTCCTCTGCCTACAGGGGAGCCAAACTAAATTTACCTACATTAGAACCTGTAGGGGTGCTATAGTCGGATAGCTTTAACAAGGATTGGAAAAGTAAAGCTTTGACCAGCCTGTTGGCTGAATGGAAAAAAATACTAACGAATTCCTCCAACCTTGCTGTACAGTGTGGATGGACAAATCTCTTACTATGGCTATTGTATTTTGACAACAAGCCCCTCCAGCTATGGCTCTTATATTTAGACACCCGCTATCAAAATACCCTAACAGTGCCTGCATCTGAATTTTCTGAATGTTCTGCCCGGATCCTTTGAATTTTCATTTGGAGGATGTCGGGCAGGAGGTGGCCAGCGGGGCCACCCAGTGAGCGAATTTCAGCAGGTTCATCAAGAACTGAATTAAATTTGCATCATGTATATTGAACTTTAGTCAGCAGCTAAGGTAATTCCAAGAAATAGCAAAAAGTCACACCCATGAGTTAACAGACTCCTAGGTGGTCAGTGGTCTCCAAACTGGTACCATGGGCCAGATGCAGCCCTTTGCTTGCCTTTATCCGGCCCCTGGAGCACTATTCCTCTCATGTACACATGGCACGTTCCTCCCACTGACACCAAAAATGGAATACAATTTCTCTCACTGATGTCAACAATGGGGCACTATTCCTCCCACTAATACTAATGAAAGGCACTATTCCTCCTCCAAATGACCACCAAGCCTGAGACAATAGTTTATTCCCACTGACATGTTCTACGACTACCAGCCACTGTCTGGCCCTCTTGAAGTCTGAAAGGCAGTAAACTGGCCCTTAGTTTAGACAGTTTGGAGACCCTTGCTCTGAGTGGTGGAACAAGGAAAAAAGGTGGTCTTAAAAATTTTAAATTTTAAATGAATTTGTTGATCATAGGATGTAGGGAGATTTTCCCAGTGGGGACATAGATAGCTATAGAATAATATTAAAGAATATGCCCAGCCAAAGCTTAATTTTCTGTCTGTGTTGCATATTTTCCACTCACTTTGTCCACTGGAACCACTGTAACCAGGGCAGAGAGAACAAATCTGTCTAATGGAGCAGTAACTACTCCCCACTCAATCCAAAGTAAAAAGAAAAAAAAGCACTGTCAATGCTGAGCTAGCACAGTCAACAGCAGTGCTCACCCCCGCCCCCCTTCCAAGTCATCATTATTTGTGATTGACAGCTCCTGAGACCAACACCATCACTACTCATGCAGGGGGAAGGGGATGTGTCAGCATGGATGTCCTGCTCCCATTGGAACACATACAAAGGACTATCCATAGCGTGGCAGACAGGCACACTCACAGCAGAGGGGGTGGTAGCAGATGAGCTCCAATAGGAATACCAACAAATTGGGCTGCATACAGGGTGGAGCTCACAGGCAATAATATCATACAGAAATGTATGTTTTACTAAAGAATCCTTCAGCATTTCTTTTCTCAAACAAAGATAACTATTTAAACGTGAAACAATAGACCAACGGGTAATATTTAGTCCCTATGAGACTTTTTAAAATCTAAGTAAAAAAGATTTTCTAGTACTGAATTTTCTAGTTCATATGAAGTATAATAGTTAGGCGTGCTACATTTTCTTTAGGTATGTATGTGCTTCTTAAGAGACATCTTTGCAACTCTTACTGTTTCACAACAGTTGATAAACTCCTATATGTAGCCTGTAGTGGAGAAGGTAAAATCTGTGGTCGAGCGGAAGAAAGAAATGAAGATTTTATTCTTTTCTGTGAAATGCAAAATATTCTTCGATTATCATAAAGCAGGGAAGGCAGATTTATTTTTAGCAGAGTCTGACTCATTATGAGCTGACTCAGCTCTGCATTTTGCATCATGGGATTCCCCTTATTATAAGTGTCTATATCTTTACAACAAAGCTTTGGTTATTAAAGAATTAGAGAATTAGTTCAATTGAGAAGTGAAATCCATGACTGAAAGCTGTCCAGTATATCACCGAAAGTTGGAAATTTACTTCAGTTACCTTTCTTCAAAGTTCTACATAACACCATGTACGGTACATACAGTAAGTCTGAAGCCTTTTGTCACATGACTCTGTGCTATGCAACATTCCCCTGATACTTCAGTTTTTGGGTGAGAATACAAAGGGGTCATCAGAGAGAGAGGATGGTGATAGAACCATGGAACACCATGACCATTTTAGCAAATTGCATTGCAGGCAGTATAGAAGTTAACATTTGGGGATTTTATGTGTGCAGTGGGCTTCTGAAGATTATGTAAGTTGCATACAACTATCCTGGATCTGTTGTTATAAAAAAACGGCCATCAAAAAATTTAACTTTCTCTTTTTTTTTCACTTCTACAGGAGGTGTGGGTGCCACCTTCCCTCTCAGTGAACAAGGAAAAGTATTAGCTATGCAAGTGTCCAGCATCCTGGGTATGGATATATGTGGCATCGACCTTCTCTTGAATGACAACGGGTCCTTTGTGGTTTGCGAAGCTAATGCAAATGTCGGTTTCACAGAATTCGACCAGGCCTGCCATTTAGATCTTGGCGGCATTATTGCAGATTACGCAATATCTCTCCTCCCTTGCTTACCATCCAAAGAGGCACCTGGGCTTACTGCATCCAGCCCTCCAGAGATTGCTGAGATGCAACCAAGCATGTCTACCAGCACGCTCAATGGCAGCGATGGATCGATCTGTAGCCACGGTGTCTGTGATGTCAAGGATATCAGGGATTCAAATCATGTGCCAAAGCCATGCAAATCTGCACTGACAGATCACGTCTGCGATGGTGTCACAGAGTAAACTAACTACCTCTTTATTTTCAGTATAATCGAAATGCAATCATCAGTCAAGTTGGCCCGCTAGGCTCAATGGGGGGCTTGTAGAAAATCAATGGATGTATGTTCTGAGCCGCTATGGAGATGAAAATATGTAAAATTAATGCTGCTTCCTTGTGTCTCAACAGTATTAGTATTACTGATTGATCACATTTGTTTTATTTGCACCTGTAGAACAGCTGGGGGCTTATTTCATAGGGATGCACAAAGCAGAATAGCTCTTTTTGTTTTCAATGCAACAATGCAGCAACCAATCAAATCTCAGTGTTCATGTAATCATCTGAATGGTAGCAGTAGTATAACCATAGGCCTTCCAAATTCATAAATGTATATAGGACTGTGTCATAAGGTGATGCACACTATCAATGGTGTTCTGCCGATGGTGCTTTATCACAGAGCCTGGTATTCCACAAGGAGACAAGAGCCTAGGGCCTGGTGGATGTCTAGAGAGCTCTGCAACAACCTTCATTGTCTTGCAGTAAACCAATGCAATTGGACAAAGCTGTGCACCTGGCTATCATTTCATGAAGTAGAATGCACTTGTTGGCAGTGAATGCTTTATGGGCCATTTCAGTAAAGCATATGGGGAGGCTTCTCTATACCTATTGCAATCCTTATCAATACCAATCAAACAATTGGGGGTGGGGGGGTAAAGATACTACCTATTCTCCTTTACTTCAGCTCTGCTTCTCTGGTCAGCTGCAGGAAGGCCCTCATTGCTTCCTAGGTGGTCATTGTAATTATGTTACATTTTAAAATTCAATCCCTTTTATGGAATTGAGAAGTGAATGTGTTGGGCCTGGCAATAGTGCCATACTGTACTTCTCATTGGTCATTACAGCTAACATTCTTGGCACTGTTGGTGCTGTCTGTCGCTGGCATCTAACGAAAAGGACTGTATAATACTATTATTCAGCCTAAAAATGCAACCGAAGTTAATAATAAAACTGAAACAATGCTCTTGCCTTTATTGCTAAGCAAAATTATACATGATATAATGCCTAATATTTCAACAGAGTTAAAATGTATCCTCAGCCATTTATGGTAGGGGTGGTACCCCTGTTGGGTTTTAAATTGTGTTTGTATGCCCACTTGGGAGATTCATCCTCTCTGTTTGTCCTGATGACCACTGTGACTAGGACAGAAAGTAATGGGAAATCCAAAATGTTGCAGTTGTCATCAGAACAAAGGGTGAAGAGAAACCTTCCACTGGGAACAGCTGATCTGGTGGCAGCTGGGGTTAGCCTCTCACCTCCTATTATGTCTTCAGGAAAGATTTAAATAAATGTCTCCCCTGTAGAGACACAAGACAGCCATAAAAAAAGGGGTTCTAACCATTCCCAAAACTGAAATGAAAGGTTTGGGTATGGAGATCCACCGTAGGGTGCCTACAGACATTAGAGATTGTTGGCTATACATCAATTTAATAAATGCTGTTTTCAGGATCCAATACAGCGCTCCTCTTTTCCTTGGCACAGATCTGTATACTCACCCAATGCCATCTAATATCTGTAGATGACTTTAAGTGATGCCTTTGAATGGATCAGTTACATCTCTTCTAGACATTTTTGTGTGGGTGGTTTTTGCTGCAATAATGTTTATCCTTGACATATTACAATATGGTTTTGTTTGGGCACGTTCAATATTTGTCTTGGTGATATTATTAGCACTGCTATTAACAGCATCATTTTCATTGTGATAATATTAGTGGTGCTAGAGTTATGGGACTAGGGATAAGTGACATTGAGAATTTAAATTTTCTGAAAATCAGGAGATTTGGGCCATATTTCAGAATTTGGTAAAATACTTTGGAGTCAATGGTGAAGGTAAAATCATATATTTTTTTTTTAAAGCACAGTGGGTTTTAAAAGGCTCCTGTAAAGTACAAATGTTGCTTCCATCTATCCTGAACCTGTGCCAAAAAATGTACATGTATTAGCCTCATTATTTAACATTTTTTTTCACAGAAAAAAGATTGTGAAAAAAGTAAATAAAACGTATAAATGACAGAACAAAAATAATAATCAAACAGGCAAAATGCAAAAATAGAAGAATAAATCAGAAGATTTTTTTTCTTTTCAAAGAAATTTTACTACACAGCTTTAGCTAGAAAAAATAATAATAACACCTGCACAAGGGAATTTACTTCATAGCAGTGTGATGTGTCCCTTGTGCTTCCGGCTCCTAATCTAGTAGAAATTGTCTTCCTCCGTTTTCCTGCCTACCCCCTACTACTGCCGCTGTAAAGCCAAAGGTGTTGTGACAGGCTGTCATTAAGAATACCCTCACTTTCCACCCCCCTCCTTCATTAATAGAAGCCATAATATCACTTCTATGACTGAAACATGACCTATGAATGGGGGAGGCAGGCCTTTCAATCATCCACTTGTCCTCCAGTCACTTATCACATTTCATTCATAGAAGCTATAGTACCAGATTCTTTGAAGGAGGAGGTGGATGGAAAGGGCTGCATAGCTGGGCACATTTGATGACAGCCTGCACAGCTTCCTTAGCTCTATTAATCCCTGCCATATTGGATGTTTATAGCATCATGGGTGGGGGCAATTGGAGGAGGAAGATTTCTACCAAATCAGCAGACAACAGCACAAGGAATACATCACACTGATTGTAAAGTCCCTTGTGCTGATTTTTTTTAAACTTAGTCTTTAATAAGTGAAATTGAGAGTTTACAGTTTGCTCATTCTTATGTATAAATAATGTTCGGGTTCGGGTGTGTGTAATCCACAGCTGGAGGTTAGGGTGAGACTGAGGGTCCAGTTTTCTTACTTCCCATTGTACTCTACAGCTGTTTCCACCAGAGACTGTAGAACTCAAAAACACCTCCTACTGTTCTTCAAAACACACAAAAACACTTTGAAAGATGCTTCAGAAAATCTATCAATCTATCACTCACCAAAGACTACAAAATGCTTTGAAATATGCTAATAAATGTCATTAGATAACCACCTGCCAGGCATTTTTAAGAGATTCTGGTGTAAATGGGGTATATGTTTAGGTGTTTGGTTGAGGTACTGTATGTGTTTGTAGTTTGGTTCAGGTAAGGGGTAGGTCCAGGCATAGCATGTACACTGCCATTGCTGACCTTGTTTTAAAATGTTCAGGTGTCTGGCTGTCATGCTGATCCAAAGGCTTCAGTGCTTTCTGAGTTACTGATGAGGAACAAGTATGCGACTTAGGAATTCTGAACTCTCCATTTGCTTAACACTTGTTCTGAGTAGAAGGTCAGCTTACACATTCCACTTAGTACAGGTTGAAGGTTACTGCATTGGGTGAGCATTAGGCTGATTGTTATACTTGGGAATTAGATTGAGGGTTAGAGGTTAGGTTGATCAGGTCGGGGTTGGTTTTAGGTTGAAGGTTTTGTTGATGGTCATGATTGAGAGTTAGATTAAGGGTTAGGAGTTAAGGTTGATGGCTATGGTTGGCAGTTAGTTTGGGATTTAGGGGTTTGGTCAGAATAAGCTTACACAGAGTAGTATTTATTTATGAGATAAATGAACACCAAAATATGTGTTGAAAGTGTCAGTGCCAATTACATACAGACAGTGCAAAATAACTAATAATACATTTTTTTGGTGCTGAAAATTTAGAGAACAGCCATGCCATTACTCAAGTACTGGAAAATAACGTACCAGCCTTTGAGGCTCATAAATCTGAACAGATGACTATGCAATCTACTGCAGGAAAATACCTGTCTTTTCTGGATCAACACTTACTACTATTGTATAAAAAGTGTATAAAAGTCAATGTAAAATGTATCCTTAGGAGAAGTAAAACAAAACTTTTATTATAACTATAAACTCATAGTCAGGGGCCCTCTCTTACACTTACAGGAACATGAAGGATTTGGGTATGGAAACTGCTTATGCAATGGCGTTCTGTTTGAAGAACCTAATGAATGCAGTTAATAGTATGTTTACTACTAGAAGTATTTAACCCAGTACTTCAGCATACCACATTCAGAATCTTGAGACTCCAGTGGAAATTACTTAAGGGTTGCCTTCTCCTCCTAACAGTGCATCTAATGTAAAGGCAGGTAAAGTAGTAACATCCTACCCCCTTATTTTCTTTCTCTGTTATGTAAACCAAATCAGTTAATATACCATCCAGCAAGGGTGAGGCCTTCTTGCAAAGAGTGGGACTGGGACCTCTGGTGAAGACCTATTTCTGCAGGAGTCCTTAAGGAATATACAAAATAAGGTTATAGGAACCAGTTCAGGATGGACTGAAGCAAAGTTCAAAAATATTATCGATCAACCAGAATGAGGGCCTGTGTAGATGGGCTTTGAGCTTCTGTCAATGGAACCAGTTTGACATCAGTTTGGGATGCTTCTGAGGTTATTTAGAAAATAATAACAGGTGCATTTGACCTGCAGTTGGCCTCCTTCCGACTTGCAGTTGACCCACATCAAGTGGATTTTGGTTTCTCAAAGACTTGTAAAATGATGCAAAACCCCCTTGAAGCAAAAACCAGTCAACACAGGCCCTTATTCACTTTTCATTGTTCTGATAAACTGTTAGAATGTCAAACTCCATCACTGGACTTCAAGTCGTCCTATTTAATGAAGATCGCTGGACATACACAAATAGGACACTGAGTCCAGTAATGTATTAATTAAACAAAATCTTTGCTTGTATGTTAAAATAGTGGATATATAACTGAATTATATTTCTCTGTATGTTATCTCCCCATAATTCATTGCATAGAACACATCAGATTGTAACAGGTTTTGCATTGTGGTTCAACCAGTCTTTACTGCTTTGCACATGATATCAGTATAACATGTGCAACAATAAGCAAAGAAAACTGTCTCTGACCATTACATGTAATCAAATGTAAGCTTTTCTTTCCTGCTTTGCCCTATAAAAAAAACAGCTTTGAAACTGACTTTTTCTTAATGGCATCTCCTCCACTTTCCATATCATGGCATTCTTCTGTTCATT